CATTGTCTCATTTCTGTTTAATAATAGACTTTGGACATTATTTTTTTGCAGTTTTTCCTATTGTAAGGCTGTAAATCTGGGGACACGACTATAGGACTGTATATATTCAAATTATTATTACATAATAGCACTAATATAGTTAAAAATAAAGAAAACATAACAGTTTAAGCAAGGAGCTTTTTTTTTTCTTTTTGGTACCGGGGATCGAACTCAGGTCTTTGCACTTGCGAGGCAGGCAGTGGAACCACTGAGCTAAATCCCCGGCCCGAAAATATTAGAGTTTATAGAGGAATACACAGAAACACAATCCTTCCTTGTGTGGTAAGATTATAGTGGGTTTTTCATTCTGTTTGTATTTCTCGTTAAGTTTATTTATACATTGCTAGAGCTATTTTGTTCTTAACCTACCCCCTGTCTTCTTAATTCAAGGTAAGGTACTTTTCAGTTCCTCATTTGTTTTGTTTTTTTTAAGAGTTCTCTGTTTTTTGCCAAATGCACCCCCCGTTCTTTCTTTACAGTGCTAGGGCTCAAACCCAGGGCCTGGTGCATGCTGAGCTTGCCCTCTAATGTTGAGCAACCTGGCAGCCCATAGCCAATATTCTTCATGCCTTCCATTTTAACAAGTAAAGATGGAACAAGGAAACCACTCCAACCCTCCCTGCACCTGCAGCCGCTGCAGTCTGCTCCCCACCTCGCCCGAACCCTGTGCTCCTGCATTAGAGACCCAACAGACGTTTTTCAGGGGTGTTTGGATGTCAGCAGACACAATCTTTCCACACAGCCATTGCCCTTTTTAAAATGCTGCTTTTCCTTTCCTTCTACAACACCACCAACCTCTGGTTTTATTCTCAGTCATTTTTCCCCCTCTTGGAACTGGGGATTGCATTTGGGGCCTTCACGCTGAGCTATATCCCCAGTTCCTTTTTTATTTTTATCTGGAGTCAGAGTCTCACTGAATCATAGGCTGCCCGGGCTGGGCTTGGACTCTGAGATACTTGTGCCTCAGTCTCCCAGAGCTGGGATTATGGGCTTGTGCCACCAGGCCTGGTTATTCTGCCTCTTGCTGATCTGTCCTCCTCTGTCTGATCTTTACAATGTGAGCTTGCTTCAGATAGCTGGTTCTGCCCCTGAATCCATCTCAGAACGATTGGAGAGGTTAGTGGTGTTACATTTTAGATCGAAAATACCCCTCCAAAGTCTCATGTATTTGGGGGGGGGCTTGTTGGAGGAGGAGGGTCACTGGGGTGTGACCTGGAAGGTTGTATTCTTGTCCTTGGGCTTCCTTGCTCTCTCTCTCTGCTTCCTGGCTGCCATGGAAGCAGCTTTCCTCCACCAGACCCTTCTACCATGCTGTTTCTGCCTTGGAGCCAGCTGACCATGGACTGAATCTCCCCAAAACATGAGCCAAAGGGAACTTCTCCTTCTTCAAATTGTGGATGCTGGGTATTTTGTCCCAGTGATAGGAAATTGACTGAGACACTGGGGTTCCTGATCTCACTAGGGAAGCACAGTGGGCAGCAGCCAGTGGTCAGACCCTTTGAGGCTGTCATTAGGGGAGGGGGCTCAGGCTCCAGATGGTGGTGCTTGGCTGTGGCTGAGCAGCGTGGACCCTCTGGATGGGCTTGGTGGAGGTCCATGGTCCAGCCAGGAGAGACTGTCTGGAGCCAGGTGGGCCTGAGGGTGAGGGTGCTGCTCGGCATTTTGGGCTCTCCAGTCCATGGCCCTGACCCTCACTACATGTCTGTCAGCTGCTCCATGCAGGGCTCCATCCATAACTGTCCCTGCCCTGATCTCTGCCATCCTCAAGCGCACCCTCCTCTTTTCCAGCTGCAGTGCCTGTCTACACTCCCGGCCAGTCACTCCTGTCTTATCTGCTTGCTCTTTGGTCTTCATTAATGCATTCAGATCTTTTTGTCACTGCCATTTAATAGCAAGCAACAGCTGTGTCACCAACAAGGATTTCCATCTGCCAGGCAGCACACCAGGGCCAAACTCATACTGCCGTATTTAACACCTAAGGCACATCTGGCAGGGAGGTGGTACTAGGTGTCATTATTGTCCTCAGCCTCTGTCCAGCACAAATTGGCTCTATGACTAGTCCAGGCAAGTGCCAGGGAGGACACCTGAACTCACAGTGACTGGACCCCAGAATCTGCTCAGAGCCACTTCATTGTAACTTACCAATCTCCTCTTGTCATCCTGTTCCTCCCTGGACGCGTGGTCCTTCCCTTGTGTTGTGGGGAAAGGCGTGCTGGCTGTTTCTCACCAGACCTGGCCAGCTGCCCTCACAACATTCCCTGTCCCTCGTCACACCCCCGCCATCTCTTTGGGGGCTTCAGGTATCCCGTGTCTCCTTCATTTGCCTGCTGCCCCCTGCTGTGTTGGATTCTCTCCTTCAGCGAATAAGCATGGTTCCTTCCTTCCCTGTCAGACCTCTGAAGGGCTGTGTAGGTCCACGTCTGCACGCCCAGCCTCCCGCTCCACCTCCACCCTGCGCCGCTAGAGTCGCTAGCCCCACCTCCTGGTTGGCGGCTGAAACAGTTCTGTGATTGCCCAAGTGTATTGGGAGCAGTCCCCAGGCTGCCTTCTGCACACACCTGCTAGCTTGTGCTCCCAAGGGATCCTTCTGTCTTTGACTATCCCCGTAGTACCCTCAGGGTGACGTGTCACCTAGCATGCCTGGGTTATTTGATCCCTGTATCAGACTCCAGCTCCAAGTGCAGGCCAGTAGGTCCAGCAGAGATGATCAAGAGCCATTTCTCAGGAATGATCAAGAAAAGAGTCTGGAAAGAAGTGGTTTGCATCAGAGAAGGGTGGTCTTGAGAGTGATATAGTATCTTGGGAGTGTCTGGCTGCCTGGTCATTATTGCGTGTGCATAAGAGCATTTTCGGGGGGGGATTGATCTTTGGGACAATAGGAGCTGGAGAGAGGCCCTAGAAATAAAGGACACAGGAAGGGTTAGTGCACAATGGGCAGGTGCTGCTGGAGGAAAGGAGACTGGGCTAGGGCGAGAGAAGGAGAGGCTGGGAGAATGTCCTTAGGACATACCGTAGGTCAGCCAGGAGAAGGAGGGACGGAGGGAGAGCAGGTAGGAGAATGTGTTTTGTACAGGTACCCACTCCCCACCTTCAATGTCATCATCATGTACTGCAAGCATGAACTGTCAAAAATTGAACACACTAAATTGTTTATGAATACCCTGCCTCATTCAAGCATTTATTCCTGTGTTCTTATAAATCTGATGATGCACCTATTAATTGACCTCATACTCATGCAGGTGAGATTCATAAAAATATGCTTCATCATAATTCATGTCTCCAATCCCTTGGTCATATCTCTCCCATGAAGGCAATGATGGCAGCGAGGAGTCTATTTTGAGGTCTAGCTCTGTGATTTGCAACCTTAGCCCTGTTGTCATCAACTCTTCTCACCAGGGACCTGGGGCACAGCCCAGGGGAATGGTCCTTGCAGTGCAGCTTTGGGAGCTGCTGTGCTAGTCACTGTCTGCTGCAGTGAGAGAGTCCCCGAGACAACCCACTCAAAGGGAGGAAGGTTGCTCGTGGCTCCAGGTTCAGAGGCTTCACTTCAACTGTGCCCCCCCTTGCCTTTGGGCCTGTGATTAGGCAGAAACATCAGCCACAAGGGCCTGGCAGAGGAAAGCTGCACACCTCTTGGTCGCCAGAGGGGACAAAATAGTGTCAGGGCACAACCCATAGTCACCCATTTCCTCCCAGTAGACTCCTCCCAAAGTTCCCACCCCTCCATGGAAGAAGTGCTGATGAGCTCAGGGCCCTCAGGATCCCAGCATCTCCCCGGCCCTCTCTGAGCACTGCTGCTTCAGGGATCAAGCCTTTCACACATGAGCCTTTGGACCTTTGAGGTCCAAAGCCCAGCTTGCCTTGCAGCAAGTGAGCCGGGCTTCTGTGTGGGAGTTAGGCGGGTCCTGGGGGCGGGCCAGATCTGAGTCTTGTTTTGCCGGTCTCTGCACAACCACTCTGCGCATATGTGAAAGCCTGAGTTCAATCCCTGGAACCTCAAAAAGAAACAAAGGAATGAAAGAAAACCTCCAAGGATTCAGTCGGAGATCTGCCACCCCCAGCCCCCATCCAGCAGCCTCACTGGCCTTGTTTGCTTTTTTGTTTATGTTTTTGGTTTTTTAGTCAGGATCTTGCAATGTAGTTCAGGCTGACCTCGAACTCGACATGATCCTCCTGCCTCAGCCTCCTGAGTGCTGGGATGACAGGCCTGTGCCGCCACATCTGCCTGTATTTGCTCATCTTTTCCATGCATGTTTTTGTACTTTGAATACTCGTGTGTTTACAGACAGAACACGTGGTGTTTTACTTGTGTTTTTTTAACATCTCTATTGAGATACAATTTGCATGTCATTAAAATACACTATGTTAACTGCATCTTGGTGGTTTTTATTATACATACTGAGTTGTGCAACCATTACTACAATCCAGTTTTTTGTTTTGTTTAAATAACAGCTGCATTAAGATCTAATTCACACCCTACCAATCTTGTCCGTTTGAAGGTAAGTCCATTGGGTTTTAGTGGATTCCCAGAGTCGTTCAGCCATCCCTGCTGTCTCATGGCACCCAAAGAAGCCCGAGAGCAGTAGCAGTCCCTCCTGCCCGCCCCGCCCCGCCCCAGCCTTGCGCTCATCTGGGCGTTGCGTGCCAGTGCCCTTGTGCACTCGGTCGTCTTCTATGGAGAGACGGCTTCATGGAGTCACTGCCACCTGCAAAACTCGGGGCCAGGAGCACCCTTGGCATGGACATTAAACTCTGCAGCCCGGTTACTAGAGAGGACCTAGATGGAAGACAGAGCTGACAGTGTGCTTGTGATTGATGTGCGCCTGGGGTGTCTTGGTGGCCCGAAGGAGGTGGCCTCTCTGATGGAGCCCAGCCGAGAAGGGGGGCAGGGAGGCAGGGCACCCACGGGCCTGGGAGCAGCCCGAGGCCCTGAGTGTGCTCCTGTCTCTCTTGCTCCTGAGACAAGCACTGGTGGTAGGACAGATGGATGGCCACCTGCAGCAGCATCGGGATGAGATTTACCACTTCCAGCAGGGCCTGGCCTGCTCCGAAGAGAAGATGGCATACCTGTCCTATGAGCAGGCCAAGGAACTATGGGTGAGAGTGCCCCTCCCCACTGCCCTCTCGGCCGCAGCACTCCCTCTGTGCCCGGGCCGGTGCCTGCTGGCTTGCTGCTGTGGGAGGGCACCACCTGTGGCCCGAAGACCTGGGCTGGGTGGGAGCGTCACTCCTGAGGGGGAGGCTGGGGTGGCCTCTGGCCCTGGCCTCCTGCCCGCGCCCTCTTCGTGCCCACACCTCTTCCTCCCATCCTTGGCCGGCCACAGCCCAGCTGGGCACTCAGTCCCTGCTGTGCTTGTCATGCGCTCTCGGCTGCCAGCGACTCAGCTCTGTCCTGTGTTTCCCGCCTACAGGGGGTCGTGGAGGTTCTCAAGGGCCGGCTGGCGAAGCTAGAGGCCCTGCAGCAAGCCACCCAGGTGGCGGTGACGGCAAGGGTCTGGAGCGGCCCCCGGGAGCTTTTGCCCTGCCTCATGAGCCTGCTGCTCGTCCTTGCCTGCGCCGTCCTGGCGTGCGTCTCCACCGTGTGCTCCTGCCCCCTGCCCCAAGCCGCCTGGCACCTGCGCATGTTCATCATGCTCACGGTGCTCGGGCTCGGGGCTCTGGCTTGGCAGAAGCAACGTGCCACTGCAGCCACAGACTGGCAGGTGTGGGTCCCTTCCAGGTGGAGGCTGGATGCCAAGAACTCCAGGCCTTCATCAGGAGGACCTCATGGGGCTGGTGTGCTGCCTGCCTGAGTTTGCTGGTTCCCTCCCTCCTCCTCCTGTCCCTTTCTGATTCCCTGATCACCAGCAGACACCTGCCCACCTTGCGCTTCCGTGTTGCCACCGGGAGGTGTGGAACTGGGGGAGATTAAAGTCTGTCCGCACTGCTCTCTGTCTCCCTCTCTCCCTCTCAGACTCGGCGCCGGGACACGCAGAGGCTCAGTGCCCCACGTGGCAGTGGCAGCCTCTGTGACGTGCTTGGTTCTGGCAAAGAGCAATTCCATTTATTTCACAGGGATAGAAAGAAATGGGGAGAGGTGCCCAGAACCGCAGTGGCCGGGCAGGCGGGAGGCAGCCTCATGCAGGTGACACTGAAGACACAGATGAGGCCTCCGTTTTGGAGGCGCTGGAGAGTTCCAAGCTGTCCTCAACCTTCTTCCCAAAAAGCTGCAAGATGCAGTTTGGAAACTGCAAGGACAGAAAGTGTCACTCAGCACAGCAGGCAGGTCTGGGCCATTGGGTGCAAGGCAAGGTTTGGGTAACCCTAAGTGTTACCGGTGACATAACACCTCTCCTCGCCCACTCCCACTCTGTCTGGGGTGTGGACGGGTCAGGTTGTTCCATGCACACAGGATAGTCATATGCATCACCGAGTTCAGCAGTTGATGGTGATGGCTGTGGGTCGATTTGTGTCCCCCAAAAGCTGTGTTCAAGTCCTGGCCACTGGAACCTGCGAGTGTGTCCTTGTATGGAAATAGTCCTTGTGCTAGGATGACATTCCTAGCTACCTGGGAGGTTGAGATGGGAAGATTGCAATTTAAGCGCAATCCTGTCTCAAAATAAAGAAGAGCAAGGGCTGGGGTGGAGCCCAGTGGCACAGCACTGCGGGGTTTGACTCCCAGTGGCACAAAGCCTGAGGTCTTGCTGTTCTGGGAAGAGGAAACTCTGGACATAGCGACCCAGACGTGGAGCCACACACCAAGGCTTGCCCCAAGCCCCAGAAGTAGAGAGAAGCACCAAGCCTGGCCTGCAGAACTGGGAGGGACTCGATCTCTTGTCTGGCCCTGGACTCAGAAGGATTTGCAGCAACCTGACCAGGACCTTGCCTGCCCCCTGTCCAGGGCCTGCTGTTCCATCAGGCTGAGGGAGACGGGGCCTCTAGGCGGGTGCTGGATGGGGGCAGCCCCACGCCCATGTCCCCCTTTTTATTTTTTGGCTTTTTTGGAAACAGGATCTCACTATGTAGCCCAGGCTGGCCTCACACTTGCAGCAATTCTCCTGCCTCAGCCTCCTGAGTGTACCACCACACTTGGCAGACCCCCTTCTCTGCAGAGACCTGGCATGGGTGAGGCCCAGTGCATCCTCTCCCAGGGCCACTGGGCCACAACCTCTTTGGTGACGGTCTATAGATGGCTGACCTGTTTTCCCTCCTCCTTCAGGACCTCCAGGAGTGTCCACTTCGTCTTTGGGGTCCCCAGAGGGACAGCCGCTCCTGGGGCACAAGGGAGCCACAGCTGCCAGGCTTGGGGCCAGAGCCAGTCGAGCCCTGATTGGTACCATAGCAAGGATGGCTGCTAGAATCAGCCAGTGGCTGTCAAATGCCAGGTGCCCGGCTAGGGCCTGTGGAAGAAGGAAAGGATACTGACACAGCCTTGCCACTGGGACACATATGTCCACCTGACAGCTCGTACATGGGTAACCACAGCAACACGCTTCATGGGAGGCCAAGAGGGAGAAACAATCCATCAATAGATGAATTAAACACATGGCAGAATATTACTCAGCCATGAAAAAGAAATGGAGAGCTGACCATGCTGCATCGTGGCTAAATCTCAATGCATGAAAATGTTTGAAAATTAGGACTGGAAGCCAAGTGTTGTGGTGCATGCCTGTCGTCCTAGCATTCAGGAGGCTGAGGCAAGAGGATCACTGAATTGGAGGCCACCCTGAACTACAAAGTGAGACCCTGTCTAAACAAAACAAAAGAAAAAGAAAATTAGGGCTGGGGATATAGCTCAGCTTGCTTAGCATGCGTCAGGCCCTGGGTTCAAGTCCCAGTAACCCTGCCCCAAAATGATCAAAAATTGAATTGTGTTTTGTTTTGTTTGGCATCGGGGATCGAACTCGGATCCTTGCGCTTGCACAGCAGGCAGCGAAACCACTGAGCTAAATCCCCGGCCCCCAAAATTGAATTGTGAATGGTGCAGCTACCATGGAAAACAGTTTGGCAGCTCCTCAAAAACTTAACCATAGAATTATCACTTTATCAAGAAGAAGAGGAGGAGGAGGAGGAGGAGGAGGAGGAGGGGGAGGGGGAGGGGGAAGAAGTATCATTTTATCCCAGAGAAATGACCCTAAGTAGCTCCTTGGTCTGGAGCTGTTAGTGACAAAGCTCATGGCAGGCTGGATGGGCTGAGTGCCAAACGAAGGTGACAGGGCCCCCGGAGCCTGTAATCAGCTCTCACTCAGGGGCCTGCTGCAGAGGCAAGATGAGGCTAATAGGGGTGACGGCGGGTAAATCAGGCAGGGGCTCAGCTGCCAAACGCCATTCTCCTCTGCCATCTTTATTTTACTTTCTGTTGTTTGAGTCGAGGTCTTGCTGTGGAGCCCAGGCTCGCCTGGAACTCTCGGTGATCCTCCTGCCTCAGCCTCCCATCCTCTGCTCTTTCAACTGTACTTCACCTGGGACCCCAAGGGCGTCAAACTTTCCACCCTGCCTGTGAACTCTTTGAGACAGAGGGGGGCCAGCAGCCCCCACCCACCCTGAAGACAGATCTTGGCTGGGCCGCGGCAGAGGCCGGGAGGTGGGGGCTGGCGCTAACAGAGGCTTGGGGCTAGTAGGGGATCAGAGCCACCCGGCCTAAAGCAGCTTAGTGCCCGCCACCTGCTGGAGGGTCCCCATGTCTCCAAGTCCTTGCACCACGCTTACAGGAGTCCGGGCGGTAGGATGTCAGGCTGTCAGGCTGTCCCTAATCCACCTTCCCCGCTCTGCGCCACTCCACCCTGGCTGAACTGATTAGGGTCCCGGGGCTGCCTGTCGCCTTCATTCAGCCCTCAGCCCCATCCACCCGGCCCTTTGGCTTTGATGGTAAAATGCGCATGACACAAAACTTGCTGTCTTCAACACCCTTACATGTTGCTTGGCAGTGCGAAGCAGTTACCCCGCCACCATGCATGAAGCCCTGACTCCCTGCTCCACCTGCCCTCATCCTGCTTATGGTGGCCTTGGCAACTCTAGGGACCTTCTAGAACCAGAGTGCCACCACGTTTGTCTCTAGTGTCTGGCTTCTGTCACCAAACACTGTGTTCCCCAGAGCCACCTGCTGCCTTTGGCTTGTATTGGGAATTGCATCAGGTCTATTGTGTTTGCTTTTTTATTTTTTGAGACAGGGTCTGTCTACGTAGCTCAGGCTGGCCTTGAACTCTCTGTAGCCCAGGCTGGCCTCGAACTTGCAGAAATTCTCCTACCTCAGCTCCTCAAGTGCTGGGATGACAGGCATGTGCCACCACACCAGGATGTACTGGGTTTCAGACTTACAAAATTCACATTGCTTTTCAACCGGGCTGTGTCCACAGGGATCGTCTTCCACACCAACCCCAGGCCTTTCAGACTCACCCCCAGAAGGTCACCAGGGAGAAGACGCCCAAAGCTCTCTTCTTTTGCACTGTCCTGACACTGCACTCAGGAAAAGGCAGAAGGTTGCTTCGATTTCTCTCTTCAGCTCTTTTTCTTTCTGTTTTAAATTGATTTAGGGAGATGGGGCTGACCTTCAACTCCTGGGCTTACGCCATCTTCCTGCCTCCCAAGGGGCAGAAACTAAGGCCCATGTCGTCATGCCCAGCTGCGTGTGTGTGTCTGTGCGTATGTGGGTGTATACCAGGGACTGAAACCAGGGCCTTCACACTGACATACATCTTACTGAATTTGTTTTCTTTTTAATTTTGAGACAGAGGCCGGGGATGTAGCTCAGTGGCACAGTGCCTGCCTTGCAACTGCAAGGTCCTGAGTTTGATCCCTGGTACCAAAAAAAAAATTTTGTTTTGAGTCAGAGTCTTGCCAAGGTACTAAGTTGCCCAGGCTGGACTTGAAATTATGATCCTCCTGCTGAAGCCTCCCAAGTAGCTAGAATTACAGGTGTGTGCTGCTGTGCTTGGCTTTGCACCCAATTTTTAAATTGATTTTTTCTCATTCTTGAAAAACGGTTCATTCCAGACATGATACATATTTACAATCTAAATCAGAGACAAGCCTTAAATTGTACAGAAGTCCTACTGAAATGAAACTAGTGTTTACTTTTTGTGTGTGTGTGTGTGTGTGTGTGTGTGTGTGTGTGGTACTGGGGATCGAACTCAGGGTCTTGCGCTTGCAAGGCAGGCACAGTGCCACTGAGCTAAATACCCGGCCCTAGTGTTTACTATTTTAAAATTAATTTTATTGGTACGTTTTAGGTATATAATACAATGACATTCATTATTGGAAATTTGCACCTTTACATAATCTCTCTTGGTTCTTATTTTTCCAACTTCCACTGACCTCCCTTCAACCCCTCTACCCCTCCCTATTTACAAAGACTTTGTTTCCATTTTTTCATTTTCTCATATTAATTCCATTCCCTTCTTTCTTTTCCCCTACCCCTCCCA